CATCAGATTGTTAGGCATGTTGGAAGAAAAAGCTGAGTCTGAAGACTGCTGGGCTCAGGTCTGCCACCTTTATGAATCACAATGAACCTGTATGGCTTTTAATATCCTGTACCCAAGTTTTGTGTCAGGGAATACGTAAAGCCCGAATACATGGGGATTTGAAGTGCAATCTGAACTTGCTCAGTGCTGGGAATGACAGGCAATGCTTGCTGTATGAGAAAACACTTCAGTCTTTCCACCACTCACCTTGCCAGTAATGCTTTTTACAGCCAATCTCTGCAGTGAGGCTGAAGGAATGAAAATATTACCTTTGGCAACACCTTGCTCAGAGATACTGTAACCAATGCAAAAAGAGAATTTCTGATGGCTTTTTATTTTGTCAAGTACTAATAAACCTCTCCAATTCTCCACTCAGGAATCACTTCAGTCCAAGTGGATTACCAAAGCAATTCTCTTAATCAGCAAGTTTAGTGTACAGTGGAGCCTTACAGAAAACAGCTTATATCACTGTAAACAACAATTTCTGTTCAGTTATGCAGAGACCCCTGCCTATTCCAGGTGACAAGTTACAGATGGACAGTATTATTGCCTTATAAACAATACATCTATCTCCATTCCGGAGTCAGCTCCCTGTACTGAAACAATATTAATAAATCACGCTGCTTGTAGGGGTAGAGCTGATATCCCCTTTTACTCAGTACATGCCTTTACTGCCATACATATGAGATAAAATGTTCTCTGAGTACACTTTAAAGATGAAACAACAGCAGTTTAAGAAACAAGAGTGAGTTTACCAGAATAAATATAATATTAAAAAACTACAGGAAGGGGGAAGAGAAGAAACCAACCAACCAGCCCATCAAAGAATGTCTTCCAACGCAGCTACCTCCACAAATCCTTATTTCTCCCTTTGTTCCTATCCAGCCTCAAGTAATGCTGCTTGTCCAAAACACTATGGCTATCATCAGGTCAACTGGGTCACAATTAGGAAAAAAACCCTTCCTTTTATTTAGCAACCACCAAGGACTAACATAATTAGTGATATCAATTAGAAAATAAAGAAAATCTAAGGCATTTCTCTGCACAAGGCCTTTTTAAAATTGAGATCTAAAAATAGAAAGACAACAAGCAGACTTAAACAATTTTAGCAGTAGTTGATTCATTTCAGCTTTCTGTTCTCCCTGGTCGCAGTTCAGTGCAACCCATAAATAAGTTAGGCTGGTGAAGGAGATTGAATTTTTGAGGCCAGAACAGTAATTGAGGAATTGAACAGCCTGGAGGTTGAAATATCATCTCCTGGGACATAAGCCTTTCGACCTATTAGCAGCTGTCTATATTGCTTTTCCAGCCGCTGACACATGTGACCGTGTCAACATATTGAACTGATTTATGTTTCTTTGTGTGGCAAAAGGACAGATCTCGTACGTGTTCTGGGCTCCGTTGTGCTGTTACTCTAAGGAGGAAGAATATCTCAAGAATATCTCAGACTAAAAAGTCAGATTTTTCAAAAATAGGCCCAATTTCCTGTGAAGAAAATCTGCACCAGTTCAGCACAATTTGATTACACCGAAAGCAGTAATTTCTACTTTTTCCACACTCTATTAGCTAACACTTGAAAACTGAAAGGGAAGCCTGAAGGTTTTTGCTTTTTTTTTTTTCTTAAAACAAACAAGCAAAACAAGAAACCCCACCATCACCCACCGCTTTTCAGTCATTCGCTCAGGATCAAAATCTAACAAGAAAACGAGACTCCACAGACAACCAAACAACGAGCAATTTGTAAAATTTATCAAAACAAACCACGACCACAGGCAAAAAAAAACCTATCTCCAGGTCTTACTCTGTATAAAACCATAGAAATTACCTCAGCAGAAGCGCAGGCCCGAGGAGAACACCTGAGCGCGGCTCCGGGGCTGTTCCCCCTCAGGAACAAGCGCTGTGCGGCCCTGCCCGCCGCCTCCCCGGCAGCTCGCCTGGTGCTGCCGCATCACTGCTCCTCCACCTCTGGCCACAGACCCGTGGGATTCACAACTCGATCTACAGAAACAAATACTCCTTTCCCGCCCTCCCTGACTTAGCACCCCACAAAACCTACAGCCACGTTATTCTAAGATGGCGCCGCTCTAAAATGGCGCCGCTCGGCACAGGCCCCAGGCGCCCAGGTGTGAGACAGTTCCCCACACACCACTCCTGAGCAGTCAGGTGTTGGGTTATGCAGACAATCACATATCGAAAAAGAGTGAAACTTGATAAAAAGATCTAAAAGGCATCTCCGGGGCCTCAGGGCAGCGCTGTAACCTCCCAGGGCCGCAGGGACCTGCAGCACAAGTGAGGCAGCAGCCAGACGTTTGTTTGAGTGTAACCTTCTCCTGAAAACAAAGCCAGCGATTTAACTTGAAATCACTGTGATGGCTTAAAAAGGGGGAAATATGAGAAAAAGTCACTTCATAAATCACTATTAAAATCCACGTTTCCACCTTCTGCAGTCAGTCTGTAAGAAAATAAAACCATACATCTGGTTTTGTTTTGTAAGAAAAGATGACGGCGACTGAAACTAAAGAGCATGTCTTAATTTTAAGAGTATCACCTTTGTTCTGACCGAGCACATCGTACTTTGCTCTGAAGGCTCCCGATGGCGTCAAGTACAAACATGAAACAGGAAGAGTTGGTTGAATCTAATAAATGCCAAGCGAGACTGATTGTATAACGGAATTAAGCACTACCAGTTAATTTTTTTTTTTTACTAAATATTGAATCAAATGGACACATCATCATCGTTTGTAACAGACTGTACTGAGAGCACTGGCACTAGATCTCAGCACAGACGGGATCAGGGATGAGATGTGACACAGAGGAGCAGCAGTGTGCTGCCCGTAACCGCCACCTCTCCAACCTGCTGCGGGGCAGTGCTGGCAGGTCCTGCCTCCCCGGAGGGCTGGGTGCTGCTCGGCCGCCTGGGCAGAAGGTGGCCAGGGGCTCCCTTTGCACGTCACTGCGCTCCTCTGCCAGGCAGCATCTGAGCTAGAGCTGTTCGAGTGGAATGTGTTTACTTCCTGCTATTTGGCAGCATTGCTCCAGGACCACCAGAATACTGCTCAGCTAGACATTTTCTCCCCCCAGACTTACAAACAAAACCCAAAGTCTAAAGGAATTTTCAGTCAGCTTTGGCTTAGTTAAAAATTTTCATCCTGAGCAAGCAAAGAAAATAAATGCTCTTCACCAAAATGTCTTTTGAGTAAGAACAATTCCTATTAGAAATGTGGTTTGACTGTCAGCCCCCTAAAAGAAGGAAAAAGAGAAGGCACCAGCTCCCCGCAGCTTAGCAGCTCCTCAGGAAGGTCTCTGCACGCAGTGGGTTATGCGGAGACGTGCAGGATGCACAATCGCCAGCCCCATGTTGCTCTTCAGCTGCAGTTGTTCCCCTCTCACCACGTGCTGTCAGCAGCAGCATCGTGCTCCACATGACACAGACAACAGAACAGGACACCAGAGCAAATTTTTTTTTTTTTTTTAAATAATAAAATAAAATCCCAAGGGCACCTTCAGAACAGGTGCTGTAAGCACGTTACTCATGATGAATTTTTAAACTCAGCTACCTCCTACATACTCACAAGGTACACACAGCAGGCTACAAGTCTGCTTCTCAGGGAAACAGCACACCTGCACAATGATGGACAACTTCAGGAAGAAACTCTGAAAGCCCTTGCTTGCAATTATACTGCTACACAGGCTGTAACGAGGCACACAGGTTAAGCAACTCCTACAACGGGCAGGGTATTTATGGTTGTAGTGTACTTCCCAAATGGCTCTTCTCAGCGGCTGCACGATGACTACTTCACTCACAGACCTTCACAGGAAAGGGTCAACCACCTCATACTTTATACAGCACACAAGTACTGCAGTTCACTTAGAGATATGTGGACAAAAAACCTACAGATATTATGTAATATAAATTATTTAATGCTAAAAAACTCACATGAAGTAAAAGATTGTATATAAATACTACATAATACCCAATGGGATTCACCACCTTTCTCTGCTTTCCATAGATTTACTTTACTAGTTTTGGAGAAAATTAAAACTTTGTACTCACTGAACATCCTATCTTTAAAAGTCAGTTAAAAAAAAAAAATCTGTAGTAAGATTTTTAGGTAGAAGTATCCCACTTCAAGGATTAAGGACCTCAAATACTATGGTAAAACAGGCCACGCAAAAAACACATTTCCTAAGATGAAATATTAACTTGAATAGTCACACATACACGTATTAACATTCTGTGAAGGTTTCCTTTCACCATGTCCAAGAATTATACTGCCACATCTTAAGTTATTTCACCCCCCTGACATGTGCTTTCTGGCCAACTTACCATATGCTATTGAGATGTTATTTATATTACGGTTTACTCATGAAATATTAATATTGTACCTCTAAATACTTATCAGCTACCACCTTATCAGCAAATTTTAAATATAGCAAAATTTTGATATCATTAAAATATGAATTACCTATTTTTATTACTAGTACTCAGTTATGTTTATCGCACTAAAATACATCAGTTTTCCAAACATCTAAACATAATTTATAGAGAGATGAAAAACCGAGTACAATGTCTGTTTATTTCATATGCTCCCCACTGTCCCTTTCCATATGTTCAAATATGACTCTTTCCTGAACTACACAAAACACATGTAGGTGTTTTCCAGGTATGAGGAAGTTTTCCAGTGCTTGATATAGCACATATTCAAGTTTGGAGCAGAACTACAAATCACTATTTTTCAGGACTAGTACTGACAAGAAAGTAAAAACTATTTTAAATACCTTTGAAAGGCTTCTCTGATCACACTGTTGTAGACAAACTGCTGACAGTTTAAAAAAGCAGAGCATTTATCTCAGTACCGATGACATACTGAATAAAAATAAATACCACCACAATATGCAAATACCTACGCTTTAACACAATCGCCTTTTCTATCAAAATAATCCTGAGCATTAGGTAAAACCAGTCCAAAGCAGGATTTACTGAGCATCTCAGTCAGCCTGATTACGTGCCAGATTTGAATTTCAGTAGGTCAGGAGGATGGCAGGTCCAACTTCAGACTGGATGCTATCATCATCACTATTTTCCAAACAGCAGTAGGTCCTACATCACTGTTAGCTCTGCCAGGCTTAGGTGTCAACTGCACTGTAATCCTGGGGAAGCTGACTAAAGAGGAGATAAACCAAACACGGCAGGCATTCATAAGAAACTGAACCTTTTTCCCAGTGACGAGTGAAAGTAAGTCTGAACTGCACTGGACTGATGAAAAATAATATATCCTGCCCCACTCTGTAGGCATTAAGATAGATTTATAACTGCTTTTACCACTACAAAATAACAGCCAAAATAGGAAAAGCTCACAGACAAGATCTTTTATTCCTTGCATTAGCAGGGGAAAGTTACTCAGAAAGAAAGTATAACTTTGCAAGGAGCACACAGTATCTCAAGCAATATGCCTTGTTCTCCATTCTGTTGAGGTGGTTTTCTCAAATTATGTAATTTTAAGTACTGCCCCAATTAGTATTCATCACATTATATTTTATAAAACCAAAAATCATTCAAACTGCAAAGGGCCACTATTCATTAAAATGTATTTTTCTTCAAGTGCAAGCTCTGTTCTGAATGATGTCAGGTGAGGCAGCAGGGAACTGTTAACTGCTGAGGAGATATAAATAGAAAATAAAAGCACTTTAAGAGTCTTCTTCCATAGCCACATCCTCTTGTAGCTTCTGCACCATTCTGTCCTCCAGCTGTTTTGGTGTACCTGCAAGGCAAAGAAAAATTAAAATCGAGATGTCACTCTAAACCCAAATAGCTGTTCTTTGAATAGTATGTGTCTATTCTAGGTGAAACAGCCTAAATATATTGCTTAAAGATTTGTTTAGGAGTAAACCCATCAAGCTCACAAGTATCTATCACTAACAAGTTATCGCTAAGCAGGTTCTTACCTGCATGTGGAGCACGAAGAAGGTGGATATTCTGTTTGACTTCCTTGATGTCTTCTGCCTTCTGCAACTCTTTGCTCTTTTTTAATCTGGGGAAAAGGAAAATTAAATTTAATTACCTTCAAAGAGGAGATACCTGTTTAATTTTAATGCATCATACATCTTTAAAGTTATGTAAACTGTAAATAACTATGATGATGAAGAAATAAAGGTAAAAGTATTTGAATACCAATTCAAGCATATAGTGGATACAAAACCAAGAAAAAGCCAATACTATATCAACTCTTACCAGAAATTTGTTTAAACCTGAGACTCCATATTACAAACAAGGAAATATAACTGAGTGTCCCAAGAGTTGCATTTCATTGGACAGACGATAAGAGTGCAGTAGTTTGGTAGTACAGTAAGAGCCCACTCAAACTATTTTACCCCATCGCTCGGATGAGTTTGTATATACAAATCAAATAACCATTTAAAACTTCCGATCCTCGTCTCTCTAGAAAGACTGACTGTCTAATGCAGATTTGCAAGAGCTCCCGTAATACAAATACTTCTCCTCACCTGTTCATAATATATCTAGCTTGGCGTTTTTTCTTTATTTCCTCCACTCTCTTCATTGCATCAACTGAAACAAAGCAGAAATTGTTTTAAAAGTGCTTAGATACCTACAGTTGAAAAATAAAATGCCATTTTGCAGAGCAACACTATCAGTATTCCACAATACCTCTGTATCAGAAGCAACTCTTCTACTATAAAGAGGAAGCTATTCCTTCTTCAAAGAGCACGGCAGGGGAATATTCTGTGTACCAGCCATGATGAATTGTATTTTCAAGCTTATTTATGCTCCCACTTTTGTGCCTACACAGATTTTCTACAATTAACCGTGACTATAAAAGACTCTTACTCTACTTGAAATCAGATGCAAAGTACCACCTTCTCCTGTATGGCATTCATTCATGACTTAAGCAATTCTATCATTTTATAGCAATTGATTTATTAAACAAACTGAAGTGGAATGAGTGGGAGCAAAGGAACAACTGCATCAGTACAAAAGGCTTACACTGGGAGCCTCCTGAAAAGCTGGAGAACCCCTAATTCAAAATAGAGGAACGAAGTACCTCATCTTCTAACCAGTTTCTCCAAGAAAATACAATCAAGTGAAACTCCACACCTGTTCACAACTCAAACCTCCCACACACATCAGGATTTGGTCATGATTCCAGCAGTTTCAAACACAATCACTATAAGGCATCAGTACTCTACGTGAACGTGTTTTCAGAAGACCTTGGAGTAACAGTTCACTCCCCATAGTTCATATTTTGTTTTTTTCTAAAAATGACTCACCAGTCTTGTTCCACAGCTCCCTCTGGTATTTCACTGGCTCATTTCTACGTTTTTCAAACTCAAACGAATTATCCTATATTAAGAAAAAGTAAATATAGATTATATATAGAAGCCTATTTAGATCAATACTTTCTTACTATAGCACTCACTCATAGAACAATATTTTACAGGATTTTTTTGTCCCCGTTCAGAATCTCAGTTCCTACACTTCAACAACCTTTGGAGATTACTAAACTAGAAGGAAATAAAGTGGAGTGTTTGGCTTCAAAGTGTCAGAAGCCATGGCGGTTTGTCTGAAGAGAACTATTTACCAAAACATCTCCCTCAGCTATTTTCTTTTTAGCAAGACAAAAGGAACAGAGAAGACCAATGTGGAGTAGGAAATACGAGCAGACTAGACAGATGGAAGGCAAAATTGAAAACGTGTAGAGTCAAAAGCATTTAATAAGTTCTACTCAACAGCCTGTAATTTGAAAAGGTTCAAAAAACCTCAACAGTATAAAGATACTGAAACAATATAAAATCATTGCAAATGGCAAAATATTTCAATTGATGACATTCTGGTGTTTGGGGCAGCTCGGCCTTTTTCTTTTTGTTCTATTTTTTTTTCCCAAGAGTTTAAGATGGAAAAGTGGTTTTCTGATTTTATTTTTTTTTTGCTAAGCATACTTAGCTTTATAACAACTTTGTCTGACCAGCTGCTAATCTTCACTTGAGATAAAGACAGCTCCAATGGGAGAAGCTACACAGAATAGCAAGAAATGGCACACACATACTCACAAGCCATGTGCCATTGGCACACAAATGTTAGTTTTCACCGAGGGATAGCATCAAGCCAAAATATCAAAAATACAAGCTGTAGAGCAGACCATATGCTAACATCTACATGCCATTTTATATTTTTTTAATTAAAAATTAGCTAAAACATATTTTTTGCAAAGTGTGACACAGCACCACACCAATTCACTGCAATTTATCCTAAACTGGTTTATCTCTTAGGTATTTATAATATACAGGATTGTTTTGTATCGTGAGAACACACCACAAACAAGAAAAGAAGTCTCCTAAGAGTACAGATGTTTAAAACACTGTGGTCTTCCACATTCACAGAGATAAACCACAGCTGTCTCCTACTGGCCCAATGGATCTTTTCAATTCCAAACACAAGGGGACAGAACGACCGACTCCTCAGTCATTCTGATTGAGAGAGTAAGACAGTCCTTCAGAAACACCTTGTGAACAACCAACTGGCAAGATTATGTCTTTTTTTTTTTTAACAAAAAAACTTCAAAACCCAGAAAAACAAGGGAATATACTTAACCTCTATCCAATGTACCTGTTCAAAGCAGCAAGACCTACCACCTTACAAACGACAGTATTTCCCACTGTCACAAGCCCTTTTAGACATGCCCCCCCCAGCTGGTTTATGAAACAATGGATACCAACCAAACTACAACAAAGCAGCATGGTTATATATTGGTTTAATTCTTAACATGCAGAGATACATCTCAAAACCAGAGCATACTGTCACCTACTTTGACATGTATAAAGGAACTTAAAATTAAAATCTTTTCAAAAATGTAATTCAACTTAGCCAGAAACAACTCGAAAGCAAGAAATACAGCTACAGAATATGCTCGTTCATCATGGCCTCTCGGAGTCACGTTAAAAAATGAAATCACATTCTTTTCCTTGGAATATCCACAGAAGGCAGCAAATCACTGTGTCAAAATACTTACAAAACTGTAAGTATTCTGTCAAAAAACAGGTAACGAAGTCACAGTAATTCTTGAATTATTAAAGGACTGTCCCACCAAATATGAGTGTTTAGTATTTTTGCCACTGAAGTAACTTCATCTTGAAATTGTTTTAAGATCTCATATACTGTTTTTGAAACGTTCCTATCTATGCAAGGACTTCTCCTACACATCGTATGCTTCAGAGGGTATCTACACTGAAAGACTTCCTGGGGCACCTGGTAACCCAGATTGTGCAGAAATACAACTACCAAATGGGTATGTACAAAGAGCAGATTTATAGATGGAAAAAAAAATGCCTTGGACTTGGGAACCCCCACATATTACCGACGCAGACACCTGATACACTGGCTTCCACACTGAAGCTGGAAAAGGAAGTTCCAAGTTATAGGCAAGCAAAATGAATAGCTCAAGAAAATTCTCACATCTTTTTCCACATCCTTCTTTTCTCCACTTATTCCATCCCTAATGCTCATCTAATTAAATGATAACACATTAAGCTAACCTAAGCCACGGGAAGAAGCTGGATTTCTGCCATTTTAGTGAGCTAAGGTAAGTGTGAATCAGTTCAACTTCTTACCACTGTCAATTCTTTGCCAGCTGCTTTCCGGAATGCTTTGGTCCATCTCATCTTTCTGGGATTTCGCTTCTTTTTAAAGTTTCTGTGGCATTTTGATTTGCAGAATCTAAATACCTTAAAGAAGAAGGCAGAAAGGGAGAAAGTTTACAGTCAAATCACGTTATTCCTGCCCCACTGTAAGTGTGATATCAAACACTGAAGTTTCTGTAACAACACTGCTCACTGAAAATGATATTCCTCTTTCAAAGACAAATATTTTTAATTCAAATATATCTATTAAAAATAATTTCAAGCATTACTGTTATTTTTCCATTATCAAGTCATTTTCACAGCTCAGGGACATGCACAAATACTTACAATTAAGCTGATTATAAATAAAATATACCAGAGGTGTGAGAATTATCATCTGCAAAAATAACTACAAAAGCAAACCTGTACTATGAATAAACAATTTTCAACACTTATCAGCACTTCTTAGATACAGTGTCAGCCTGACAACAACAAAGAATCCTCCTCACTCCTCATATACTGTTTTTCAATGCAATACACACACACACACACACACACACACACACAGAGAGAAGTCTATCTTGGAGAACGTAGCTTTAAGCCCTAAAGATTACCCCGCAGCAGGAGGCCTCACGTTCTGGGCTGAATTTACTGAAAGCTGTTAAAGCATACACCAAACATTCTAACTGACTTTATTTACCCTTATTTTTCTACATGTTCTACAGAATGCTAAACTCACTTTAGGCACCTGCCACTGCTGGCAACCGAAGCACCTTATGTTCATGCAGGTGATGTTGTCAGGCCCATTAAAGATCCATAAAAGAAACTTCAGCATCCATACCCGAAATTTCCCTTTTATTAGTATTGAAATTATGTAACAGCCAAGCTAAAGACCCTCTATCCCAAATTGCCCCAAACGCCACAGACATTTTCCAGTCAAAAAGTGTACGCAGCAAGATGGCAGTCAGTTAAAGGGGTGTGTGTGGGGGGTGACAGATAACTGTATCACTATTTGAAGTTTTTAATTTTCCCTAAATTTGTGCATCAGTTTGAACTATCCTGGCCTGCCCAGTACCCAACGCAGAGCTGAAACTTAACTTCGGAATACTCAAAATTAGATTTGTTATTCATTTTGAAAATCCTATTTTTCTTCAAAAGTACCCTCCTTCCCATCGAACAGTCACTTCTAAAGCAAAGTAACAGAAAATACAAAATCTCTAGTAAAGGTAATAATCTTCAAATATTTTTTTTTTTACATTCTTCTACCACATTTTTTCACTTGAACTGAGACAAATCTGCCATTCTATTTTGCTTTTTCATAGATGATCTGTTCAAAACTAACCTGCCGCTGTGCTTTTTTTAAAAAACACACACACCTTGTGGCCATTTTTGAATCAATGGAACTGTGTCAATCTACATCTACCTCTAAATTCCCAAAAGCTGTGACTCAGATGAGCAATACAGTTGAGCCAGTATTTGTTTAGATACCCGAGCACGGGAAGGAAGCTCTTTGTGTAAGCTTCGTTTCACAGTGAGGTCTCCAATGCCCGACGGGAGAGAGAAGGAATACAGCAGAGGCTGGGAAACTATAAACATTTTACATACAAAACTGTCACCATAATGTAAAGCCCAAAGTGCTATGCACATCCTGTTGTGACAGCCTCAATTGGGTAAGTCACATCAGATACCTGAGTTACGTTTTTTAGGAGAGTAGAGGGGTATAAACCATTAGCTTTAGCATACAGTGCCTGTATCTTGGATTGTTCAAAGTTTCAGAATCCCCTGCTATTAATCTGAAGCCTCCACTTCACCAAAAGCAGAAAATTAACGGATGAGGGCTTTGTATTGCTCTGTAAAGCACACAATTTTCTAGTGAAAACTGAAAACAAGTAATTCAGCCCACACTCTTCCCGACAGCCACGACAGCGACCAAATCACAGTGTCACTCCACGTAACGGCTGCCCCGCAACAAACGGATCTGCGCGGTAACTGACACCGCCCCAAGGCCCCCACGACCGCCGGCGCGGAGAGTGCGCCGGTTCCCAGCCGCCGCGGGCTGAGACGGGACGACACGGGAACTGCTGCCCGCCGCGGCCCGAGCGAAGCTCCGCAGGCGCGTAAAGAGCCGCAGACCGGCCCGGGACGGGGACACCCACCCCGGGGAAGCCCCACGGGCCTCGGCAACGTCCGTAACCGAACGGCGGGAGAAGCGGACAGCGCGGGTGTGGGGGGGAGAGCTCTGGGGCCCCCACGTGCACAAGGGGAACCACACACCCCCCCTCCTTCGATTTAACCAGAAAG